AAACAAAACAGTACATGTAGATGCAAAGCACCGGGGAAATATGTCTGCTTGTTTACAGATGAATGTTCACAGTGTCCTATGTTACTGAGGTATTTATAGTGAGGGTTTAGGCAAAGCCTATTTTGATCTCTTGAGAATCTGTAGTCAGAAAGACGAGACTAGTTGGAAAATTATAATTATTTAATAAATATGTTGGGATGATATAGCTGGTAAATTGTGTTTAGCTGGATTATAAATATATATTTGCTCAATTTTTATGCATTATGTGTATATTTACTGGGACATATTACTGTCTGACAACCCAGTCCTTTAATACATTGCTCACCCTGCTAATGAACTCACCTCTAGAAGTTTAGATAATAGTTTATTTCCCCTTCTCAGCATCTGGAAGAATGACCTCTGTTTGGGAAACAAAAATGTAGCTGTGGTTAAAAAACTTTTCAAATTGATGTAAATGTATTTTTATAGTTACAGTATTTCACTACAGTTTAGGGAGAAAATATTGAGGAGTAAATGTAGAAATATTTGCCCATTTGATCAACAGTAGATACATACGTTTGACCTCGAGCTTGCAGGAGACGGTGGCCTCTCCCTGGGCATTTTTAGCTCTGCAGGTGTATACACCACCATCAAAGCTGCAGGGCTTTCGGATCTCGAGGGAGCAAATGCCCTGGTTGGAGATCTGACGATACTTGGGGTCGTCACCAATGATCATTTGATTCTTCAACCACTCGATCTTAGGCTGACATGAGAGAAAAATGTACAAAATAAATTAACTTTACCACAAAATTACCAAGACTGATGTTAATGAAAATCAACATCTCGCATGTATTATCATGATAACAGCAGCTGGGATCTACAAGGTTGATCTCTTCTGCAACATGAGAATATCCATCGGACACATTCAGGAACCAATCTGTGAAGACACGACTAATAGAGACACATGAAGAACTGTGTGACAGTTTTGGCCATGAAGCATGGTTAAGGTAGTCAGTTGGTCTACCACTTCCAAACTGAATACTCAGCAACTATTCGAAAGATTGCCACAAAATATCAAGATCAGTTTATGTTTGTAAGTTAATTAAATAAGTTAATTAAAGACATCCAGGTTCTGTGCACCTTAGTTTATTTCAGATTTCCCCAAGACTAGACAAACCTCCCAAATATACACACTGGTCATTGTGTATATTTGAACATGCTGATTTCGATGTTAGCTCTTTAACCTATGCCTTAGAGAACTGTTGGCATGGCAACAGACTTGGTCACCAGAGAAATGGTTAAATGTCATTTCTACAGGTTAAAGGTTGATTTTCAGACCAATTCTGTTTTGACTGAATGTGTCCTGTGTGACAAACACAACTGACGTCTCAGTAAAGCCTAACAAACCCCTGCCAATACTTGGTGAATGTTTCCCTACCGTTTCAAACTGGTCTTTAAAAGAGAAGGTCTTTTCTTTAGAAGAGCTACCTCGTCAGGCCAGGACTCTGCAGTCTATTTACACCTACAGGCCAGTGGACAATCTTTCAAGGATGAGGATGTAACATCCTGGACAGGGAAGAACGCTGGTTTGAGCGCGGAGTCAAGGAGGCCATTTACGTGAAAAGGGAAAGACCATCTCTGAATCGAGGAGGGGGCCTAAGGGTACATCTGTCGCCATCTTACATGCTGTGATTGCAGCCATTCCCCAACTCTCTGTGAATGGTACTCATGGCCATTGATCAGTGGGTTTTGGTCAGTGGTTGTTGATCAATGGTCATGAGAATTTGCATAATTATGATTAAGGAACTGACCTCACAGCCCATTGTTCCTTCAGTGGGCTGGTTTCATTCATTATGCAAATGTACTGTTTATAAGATTGAAACCTGCAGTCAGCTGAGACTGAAGAAGTCACCTGATGATGACGAAACGTTTCTCCTAAAAAACGCTACGTCCAGATGAACAGAATCAACTTTTGGTGACATTTGTGGTCCGCCTCTGTAGCTGCACTGATGTGTTTGTTTCCAATTCAGTTTTACATTTCTTACTTTAAACTGTCGTGGTTTTTCTTTCCTGCCTGCTTGGTACACAGCGAGCTATTTAAACTTGTTCTACAGCTGTGGTCTGTTTGGGCGGCAAAAATAGTGCTTTGGTGTTACAAACACATCTTCAATCACCCATGAAAGGAGAACAATCTATACTTCTTATCACCGTCTCTTTTTCTGTCCGCCCTTCTTATCACGCATCTCTCACCCCCTTAATGCAGTGCCCTACTCTATGTGACAGCTCTTTATCAGAGACAACAGGACAAGCTATCACACTACTGAGCATGCCTTTGTACTGGACCTCTCAACACTGAACTCCATGCCAGGGAGGAGGAGGTGGCTCGATAAACACATGCTATAACACACTTCAAGCCCGCTTACAGGAGCATGAGAGATTTCAATTTACAGTGATTATGTAAAGACATGAAGTTAAAGTATCGGTCATGCAGCAGTTAAGTAGATGACCAGGTGTACCCTGCCCCCGCCCTATGCCCAGTGAGATAGGCTTCTCCTGGATAAGCAGAGGACGACAGATTGTTGGACGCATGGTTAAGCAGACATACAGGTGATACACACCACAGGGAAAGGCAAGAAGGACCTATTTGGCAAGGACAGCTCTCAGTCTACAGATACTAACATGAAGGAAAACTGCTTTCTCATTATTCTCAGCTACAGACTTTGTCTTAGATGTGATAAGTTTCACTGTCCCAAACACTGGCATACTGTCATAAAATGACTAATAAATACTAAACGCTGCAAAAAAGAACAAACATAAAGCTACAAACAAATTACCCATCAACCCCTGTTTTCTTCATTGTCTAACGTCAGCTTTTGTGCCGTGCTGTACCAAATTTGTTAGCTCTGTCTCATCTACGCCGGCACGCACAGGGCGACTAACTGCTGCTGTCCTGGGAGAAAAGCCAAGGACAGCTAGGACGAATAATCAACTGCATTTCCATTCTGAACTGCCACTTAATCTGCCTGCATCTGTCAGACAACTGTAAAGATAAGTTTAACCCAAGCAGTTGCTGCCAAACAGTGAGACACATTCTGAAAATCCCCATAAACATACCAGTGGAAGCCAGAGTGCATCCTTCTTTAACTGTGGCATTAAGATCATATTTAAAGGGCATTTGTGAGCTTTTCTGGTGAGAATGAGACCGTTTCAGTTCAAAAAGGAACATTAGCCATGTTTGTGTGATATGGAAAGTCCCCCAAATCTCAATAGGCCAGTTCTATTTATAACCAGCAGATGCTTCCATGTGTCCTCCTTGGTTTGTACCTTTAGTGTGAGCATGAGCTCTAAATATCCAGTCTATTAGGATACCACCATCATACCACCTGATAAGATGTAGTATCAGTAAATTGTTGTATAGACACTGTTGTTTATATAAGATGTTGGTGTTTTTGTTGTTAAAAACGTGAGCTCTAATATGAAACCACTGTCATAATAGTTCCCTAAAGTCTAAGGCGTCTAATTACAAATGTTTTAAGAAGACAAACTATCATAAAATACTGAGCAAATATTCAGATTCATAATGCACGTCTAACCTTAGGACTCCCACGAACAGAGCACAGCAGCTTGGTGGTGTATCCCACGGTGGCGGCTCTGTCGTTGAGGGCCGTGGTGAACTTTGGAGCCTCGTTGAAGTCGTGCTCCGGGTACTCGGGAGGTTTGTAGACAATACCTGTAAAGGAAGCA